CTTACTAACTGCCGTGCTTTAGAGAGGAGGCCACAGGCCCAGTGCACACAGCGTTGAGTTAGGGTTCCCCTAGAATGTCTGGCCTGCAATGGCCCGGTTTATGAGGCGACTGCAGGATTAGCTTGTGTTTATTTTTTCTCACAGGCTGAAAAGAGCAAGCATGCCCAGTGCCCCAGGAGGAGGAGGAGGAGGTGAGGGTCCTGACACTTCCCCTGCAAGCACACCATGCCATGGAGAAGATGGAGGAGTTCGTGTATAAGGTGCTGAGAGCTAGTCCTGGAGGGGAGGGGCGGTGGCTTACTGGGGGTGTCCCAGTGGGTGGGCCTGCAGTGGACTAAAGACCTTTTATTCCTGTGTGTATTTGTTTTTGCTTAAGGTGCAGTAAATATCAGGCTAGCAGATTTTTACTGCCTACTGTGTTAAAGCATTATTCAAAATACGTCCTGAGCAGGAGTGGCGATGGGGCAGGAGTGGGGGCAATCGGGGGGAAAGGAGACACAGGTAATACTTCAAACAATAAAAATAAATAAATATTTAAATAAATAAAGTACTAAACAGGAGCTCTCAATTATTTTTGCTGTGGATCCCTTTGGCAGTCATCAAAATATTAAAATGTGATTGGGCTCCTTTATTAAAACATTGAATATGCATTAATGACCAGCTTTAAAATATTGTATTAAAATTTGTGTTTTTTGAAGCGAGAGCGAGAGAGAAACATCGATTTGTTGTTCCACTTATCTATACATTTATTTGTTGATTCTTGTATGTGCCCTGACTGGGGATCAAACCCACAGCCTTTTATGTATTGGGTAGCTCTAACCAACTAAGCTACCCGGCCAGGACAAAATTTTTAAGTTCTAAGTAGTGATGAATAAAAATATGTTGGTATCTGCAAAACTAAGGTATGAAAATATCTGTGATTTCTGTTGTTGACAGTGTCACAGTTTCTAATCCTACTGTGGTTTGCTGCTCACACTTAAATTGAGGGAAATGTTGGATTTTAGTTAGAGGTGAGTGAAAACAAGAAGTTTTTCCATCTCGTCCCTGGCTTCTGCTCACTGTCCACATGTCCGAGGCTAAGAGCCCTGCTCTAAAAGACACTGTCTCGGCCTCATGAGGATTTCGTTTCCTGGGAAGGGCAGAGCAGGGGCAGCCAGTATCTCCAGGAGGAGCGGGTCAAGGAGGCTGAAATGTATGGTTTTAAAAGCCACAGGCACATTCATGTTCCCACTGTTCCAGGTCTGGGAGGGACGCTGGAGGGTCATCCCGTACGATGTGCTCCCTGACTGGCTGAAAGACAACGATTACCTGCTCCACGGCCACAGGCCGCCCATGCCCTCCTTCCGGGCTTGCTTCCGGAGCATCTTCCGCATCCACACAGAGACCGGCAATATCTGGACCCATCTGCTTGGTGAGTGATCTGGGTGGGAAAATGCAGTTTTTGTCTCTTTAAGTGCAAAGGAGTTTTATAGCCTGTGTCTCTGGCAAGGAAGAACAAAGTTGTTCTGGCTGACTGAAAGGTGGCATTGCGCCTCCGAACTGCCAGTGAGCATGGTCAGCTCTTGGTCACTGGTCTGTAAGGCAGGCAGGGGCGGGGGGTGGGGGGACTGGAAATGGGAGAAGAAGATGCAACTAGGTGTTGTGTTGTCTTGTGATCCCTGGAAGAACTACCCAGCATGGAGGCAGTTCCTTCCATTTCGTACATTTCCACTGTCACAGCAAAATGCCAGCATTTTCTTAAATGATCTTTTCGTCTGGGCCTATGTGACTGGTGCCGTTTTCTCCAGAATTTTGGACGACAGCTCCCACAGCTAAACCCGATAATGTTAGTCCTGATTCAACACCAGCTGTCAGAATGCACACCTTCCCTTCCTCCTCAGCTCTGTTCCTCTTCCTCCTCTAGGTTTTGTGCTGTTTCTGTTCCTGGGAATCTTGACCATGCTGAGACCAAACATGTACTTCATGGCGCCCCTGCAGGAGAAGGTGGTGTTCGGCATGTTCTTCCTGGGCGCAGTGCTCTGCCTCAGCTTCTCCTGGCTCTTTCACACCGTCTACTGTCACTCAGAGAAAGTCTCTCGGACTTTTTCCAAGTGAGTGAAAGGCCTGATGTTGGGACGGGGGTGAGGAGGGAGGGGAGTACCAGCCCCTGCTGTCACATCCTGTGACCTGAGGACGGGACCCCCAGGAGCCCCTGAAGACACCCTGCTGTGTCCTAGGAAAGGCCTTCTACCTTGTCGGTGTAATAGAGTGATGAGGCTTTTTTAAATCCTTCATGAAAAATGCACAGTAGCCCCAAAAGCTGGAACCCAGCTGCGGAATGTACTTCCCACCTGCTCAGCGCTGTCCTGTGTGAGCTGGGTGCGAGTGGGCCAAGCGCTCGGGCCCAGCAGGGCGTGGTGACGTGTCCTGTGCTGCGTTCTGCTGTGCTCCTGCCCATGGCCAAGCAGCTTATCTTCGCTGCCCACACATGGCTGGAAACCCCAGATGCCTGTCATCTGCTGCCTTCCGTAATCCCCCGTTTTGAGCCTGTTGTTGTTGGTGGGGATGGATTATTTTGTTTTTTCCCCAATAACACCAGTAATGGCAATACATCTTTATCATTTAAAAGTCAATTAAAACAGCAGTACCTCTTACTGCTACTTCCAATTTAAGGGTTTGTGTTTAGAACTCAACTTGTCAGAACTGGGGGACAGTCAGAGCCCTCCTGAGCGAAAAGCTGAATTTAAGTGCCCAGTGAGGGGCCTGAAGGGAAGAGAGTTCTGTGATTGGGAACTCTTCCACTGCAAAGACAAGTGCTTAACCTTGAGGATTTCAATCCAGGATATAGACAAGAGATGGGGGATGGTCAGATCTGCCAGCAGATGGAGGAAAAACAAACAGTTAGAGGAGCCATAGGAAGTCTTCATTTCTCCCACTGATGCATTTTAACTTTGTGGCTCTTTCAGACTGGACTATTCAGGGATTGCCCTGCTGATTATGGGGAGCTTTGTCCCATGGCTCTATTACTCCTTCTACTGCTCCCCACAGCCACGGCTCATCTACCTCTCCATCATCTGTGTCCTGGGCATTTCCGCCATCATTGTGGCACAGTGGGACCGGTTTGCCACTCCTAAGCACCGGCAGACAAGAGCAGGTGGGTATGAAGGTGATGTAAATCTCACAGGTCTTTTGACCTTGACCCTAATAGGCTCAACCTTAGGCCCTAAGATTTGCAGTTTGAGGACCCCAGTCAAACCCTGATTTGTGTTTAGAATCCTGAGAGCAGTATTGTTGTTTTTATGTTTTTATTAATTTAGAGAGACTGGAAGGGAGAACGGGAGAGAAAGAAATGTCGATGTGAGAGAGAGACATTGACCATGTGCACTCCCACCGGGGATCACACCCACAACCTGGGGGACATGCCCTGACGGAACTGGCAGCCTTTTGGTGCATGGGACGATGCTCAACTACTGAGCCACGGCAGTCAGGCGACAGTGTGAGCTTCTAAAGCTCCATTATCCCCCAGGTTTCATATTATTTCACAGAATGCTAATAAGCCACATAATGACCAAGTTTGTCAATTAGCTGCAAGTATAGAAATGACTGCTCTTATAAAAACGTACAGCCCTGGCCAGTGTGGCTCAGTTGACTGAGCATCATTCCGTGCACCCAAAGGTCACCAATTCGATTCCCAGTCAGCATATACCCAGGGCGTCGTTCAGTTTGGTCCCAAGTCGGGGTGCATATGGGAGGCCCCCAGTTGATATCAACTACTGGAATAGCTAAAGCGTGAGCATTTTTGGGTTGTGCCACCTATACTCCTATTTTAAGCTTTATTACTTACAGCAACACCAGTGACCTCTTTAAATTTCTTATTATCTGGTGTGTTGTAACTTTCAGTTAAAAGAATTCAGTGTTCATCAAGCATCAGCACATGCTGGGCGTGGTGCTTTAACAAGGTATATCTAAGAGTGGAGAGGTGGTCCCTGCCCCCCCCCCGCAACCCCCGTTGTGTTGGGACAGGTGCCCGTTCTTCCCTTCCTCTTACCTCCCTTGTCCCAGCAGCTTCACCAGCTTCTAACTTGAATGTCTCCACCTGCTTAGGTCAGAGCCTGGGTACTTCATAGTGTACGATCTTCCTGGGAAACTGTCTACCCCTCCCCACCTCAGAGGCACCTGAAACTTTGCATCTGAGTTCGATGGCACAGAGGGTTTGGTCTGTCACTTTTGCCTAACAAATAGTGAAGAATGTGAGATGTTTGTTCTTGGTGCTGTTTAGAGGGTAATATCTATATAAGCACTTTCACAGCCTTCTTCCCATTCCGGATGTTGAAGAAATATCTGCTACCTATTCTCCATTTTGTGGCCAAACTTCCTGAAAAGTAGCTGATTATCACAGACATTCGAATTCCAGAGCGAAGCAGCAGTGTGCACCGTGTGGCAGCTGTCCCCTCCCTGACCATCTGGTCTGCTCTGTGCAGGGGTGTTCCTGGGCCTGGGTCTGAGCGGCGTCGTGCCCACCATGCACTTTACCATCGCCGAGGGCTTCGTCAAGGCCACCACCGTGGGTCAGATGGGCTGGTTCTTCCTCATGGCTGTGATGTACATCACCGGGGCTGGCCTCTATGCGGCTCGAATTCCTGAGCGCTTCTTTCCTGGAAAGTTTGACATATGGGTAAGAAACGGCTCTACGGGCAGTGCCTGTGGTCAGGTGAAAGGTCTAAGTAAAAGGCAGTACAGACATGGGGTCATGTGGTGTTTGGGGTACATACAGGTACAGGGGAAGTGGGCAGCGGGAGGGAGTGATCAATATCCGCATTTTGGTGTATTTCTGACACTTTTATTTATTTTTAATCTATTTTTATTGATTTCAGAGAGGAAGGGAGACGGAGAGCAATATAGAAACATCATGATGAGAGAATCACTGATTGGCTGCCTCCCTGCCTGCCCCACACTGGAGATCAAGCCCACAACTGGGAATCAAACCGTGACCTCCTGGTCCATAGGTGGAGGCTCAACCACTGAGCCATGCTGGCTAAGCTCTGACGCGACTTTTTAAATTCTCTAGCCCTGGCCGGTGTGGCTCAGTGCCTTGAGCGTCCGTCCTGTGCGCCAAAGGTTGGTCCAGTTCCGAGTCAGGGCACATGCCCCGGTTGTGGATACAATCTGCCAGTCAGGGTCCATGCCAGAGACAATTGATCGATGTTCTCTCCCTCTCCCTTCCTCTCTCTAAAATCAATAAAAACTTAAAAAATTTATAGCAGATATATAACTTTCATGACATAAAACTTTGAGAGAAGTTAGATGAGGTAAGAGCTCTCTTCTCATGTCTGATCCCTCCTTGCCATTACTCTAAGGGTCACCTCTTGTTCCTACAGTTCCAGTCGCATCAGATTTTTCATGTCCTGGTGGTGGCAGCAGCCTTCGTCCACTTCTATGGGGTCTCCAACCTTCAGGAATTCCGCTACGGCTTGGAAGGCGGCTGTACCGATGACTCTCTTCTCTGAGCCTCCCACTCAAGGCTGGAGGGGAACTTCCCAAGTGCTTTCAAAAATAACTTCCTTGCTGAAGTGAAAGGAAGCGTCTGAGTTGTCTGTTTCTAGAAGAAACCTCTTAGAGAATTCAGTGCCAGCCAGGCTTCCGCCCGCCTTCCCGCCTCAGGGCGGGGGATAAGCTTTCCATGTCCCTCGCTGAGGAGGGGTGATCCACTGTCCACGCCCCTCCTCAGCAAGGCAGCTCTGTCCCCTTGGCACAGAGCGTTCTGAAGCTCATGTTGAGATTTTATCCCTCCTCCAACCATTTTGGGAAAAAATGATGGACTGGGACTCTTCAGAAATTCTATTTCTGGAAGAAAATGTCCCTCCCTTACCCCTGTCCTTACTTTGTAACCTGGCTTGGAACAGGCCATCCATTTTGTAGCACACTTTTCCAAAACGATCGTAGCCGGTCCCGTCTCGGGCCTGGATCTGACGACAGCAGGAAGAAGGCACCAACTTTGAGGCAGCAGCTAATCATGGAAGTGTGTCCAGGCTTCAGATAACTTGAGTTTTAATTTTTTTCTTGGCAGAGTAATGTAAAATTAAAATGGGGAGAGATATTTAATATTTAATACTAAGCTTTAAAAAGAAATTTGCTATCATTGCTGTGTATCCTGATGCAAAGGCTATGATGATAATAAAAGGAAGTGCAGAAGACAATTAGCATCCAAATATTTAACATGTGTGGTCTCGACTATTTGCACATAACTCCAAAGTGTTAAAACCAGGAAAGTAACCTCGGATTCTGCAGAAGCACAAATCTGAATCGGGGTTGACAGGCTGGCGTGTGCGAGCCATTGAATAAGCCCAACTGATTTCCGAGCATCAGCTCCTATGTCCAGCCTTACTTTTCTCTACTTATTGCACAGACTTTTACTAGAGAAGTTATTCTGTAGTATTTAATGATTCAATGGTTCTCAGGGGTATTGGGGTGTATCCCTGTGACTGTCAAAGGTCTACTGTACATTACTCTAGGCTTCAGTTCTCTTAAGGTTGTCTCATCAGAGGTCACTCTCTGCCTTTGGAACCGTACTCGACCCGAGATGAGTTGTGCTTGTCTGTGTGGCCTGCAGCCGTCATTTCCGAGCGAAGGTCGGCAGTTAGAAGGCAGTTTTCTCAGGTTACAAACACGCATTTGCTCAATTTATACAGTTGGGAGGATAAGTTACCTTTTAAACAATAATCCAACTAGGCTGACAAACAGGAAACTTTCTCAACCTCGTGGTAATCAGGGAAATGTAAATTAAAACCAAAGCGATAGCCATTTCACTACCACCAGATTGGCGCACATCAAAAACCCTAATATTGCGTTTGTGTAGATGTGAGCAGACCAGGAACTACGTTGGTAGGACCGGTTTTGTCGAGGGGTAGAGGATAGGGATATGTGTTGCAACATGCAAACACTGCGTGAAACCCACCTTACAATATGAGATGTATCTAAAATTCATCCTAAATTAATTCATTTCAAAAATGTTGGTTCTGGCACTGGCCAGGTAGCTTTGTTGGTTAGAGCATCGTCCTGATATGCCAAGGTTGCAGGTTTGGTCCCCAGTCAGGGCATATCCCACAGTTTGAAAACCACTGCCCTTGAGAGGTATCAGATTCATTACAGCTTCGGCTGGTGTGGCTTAGTGGGCATCGTCTAGTGCACCGAAAGTTTGCCGCTTCGATTCCCAGTCAGGGCCCATGCCTGGGTTGCGGGCTCCATCCCTGGTGAGGACCGTGCAGGAAACAGCGCATTGAAGTTCAGCTTCACATCTCACATCAATCTTTCTCCTCCCCCACCGTCTTTCTAAAATTCAATAAAAATATTTTTTAAAAAGGATACATTGCTGCGGATGTGTTAGCAATGCACTAAAATGAAGCCAAATATCCAAAACTGTTTACTGGAATAATAAATTGTGGCTTGTTCATATAACGAAAGACTATATGAAAATTAATTACAGTGACAAGCAACAACACGGGAGGGAGGGAGGGAGGGAGGGAGGGAAGCAACTTACAGAACATGTCTGATTGCATTTCAGTAAAGCTCAGAATTTTGCAAAACTAATGATAGTTTAGGGACACAAATATCGCAAGAATTTTAAAAGGATTTTAATTCAGAAAAAAATGGTTACCTCAGAAGAGGGAGGGAGGAGAACAGGACATTTCATTACAGTAGCTTATATTCTTTTTAACCAGGTGGTGAGTACCTGGATGTTCCTTAAACCGTGATTATTTTTCTTGTATTAAGTATATCTATTTAATAAAAACGTTTAAGTTTTTAAAAAGACTTGAGCTGATAGCAGAAGCCACAGTGGTTCACAAACATGCTTTGGCCTGCAGTGGGAAGTCAGTGCTGACTGTGTACTAGGTGCAGGGTGTGCTCACCAGGTCACCATCGTCCCTGCCCAGCTCTAGAGCAGCGGTTCTCAACCTGTGGGTCGCGCCCCCAGGGGGGTCAAACGGCCCTTTCATAGGGGTCGCCTAAGACCATCGGAAAACATAATTACATATTGTTTTTGTGATTAATCACTATGCTTTAATTATGTTCAGTTTGTAACAATGAAAATACATCCTGCATATCAGATACTTACATGACGATTCATAACAGTAGCAAAATTAGTTAAGAAGTAGCCACAAAAATAATTTTATGGTTGGGGGTCACCACAACATGAACTGTATGAAAGGGTCGCGGCATTAGGAAGGTTGAGAACCACTGCTCTAGAGGCATCTGAGTTTGTTGGGAGCCATTAGAAATATTGGCTTAGACAAAGCCATCTTAAGAACTATAAGTTTCTGGTTCCTTCGGAAACTCCTAATTACCAGAAACCACCTGTGTCTTGCAAATTGGCCAGGAGTTAAAAGATAACCCACCCTTTACCCGCCCCCCGTCCCTAAAACAGTATATATTCTGCCGCTGTAAGAATAAAGTTTGAGGCTTGATCAGAATCCTGTCTTGCCTCCATTCTTTCGTGTCCCTTGCTTGCCTCATTCTCCTAGGGTGTCTATTGGTTTCCCCGTTGTTGTCCTGCAGGTCGGGACATGAGTTTGCAACCACTTGGTCTATCTGATCCAACCCATCCATTTCCTACATGAAGTACAGAGGTCCCTAGTCATGGGTGAGATAGAGTGCTAGGCAGCACTGTGGGAGAATGAGGAAATGAGCTGTGATGAAAGAAAGGCCAAGAATGAAAGCTAGGAATATGACTCCAGCCTTTTCCTATCAGTAAGAAGACTATCTCTATCCATAGAGCATTCGTTTTCAGTTTTAAGTCATGGCAAAGGGGTAATATCCAAAGAAATTGTTGGATGCGCTGTTAGTCCACTGGGGAAACATTTGCCAAAATTAAGCATGCAACGATTTTATTAGGAGACCAGAGGAGGCTGGGAGAGCCTTTAGACTTCCCTGCAAGTCTGGCTCCCTCGAAGGACTGCGGGGAGAAGGTTGGAAGCGCCCGGACTACCTCGCATTCCAAGAAAGGTGCAGCAAGACCCTTCAGAACAAGTCCCTGATCCAAAGTCTGCTGACATTAGAGGCCCATCTTCCCCAGAAAGGTCCGCTTTCCCGTTTCTGTCCCCAGCGGGCTAGGAACTAACCCTGAGGATGCATGACCGGGCCTGGACGCAGATTCAGGGATGAATTTCAGAGCAGCAGCTGCGGCCCTGCTTTGATTCTATTCAGTGAGTAACTAAGATCTTTTATTAAGTTCCTCCTCACACTGGAAAAATGTTTTATTTAGCATTCACACTCAGAAAACAAGGGTTATTTTTACTTCTTAAAGTGTACATGTTTTTAACGCACTGACAAGTTCAGAAAGCACAAAAAGTCACGGAGGGGGCAAACCTCCCTCCCGTCCCATCTCCCAACCGACCGGTTCCTCCCTCCAAAGAAACGAAAATGACCACTTTACTCAGTATCTTTCCAAGTGCACTTTATGCATATCCAAGTAGATAGGAATATATTCTCCCAACCTTTTTACACAAATAGTAGCAAACTATACGCTGCGTTCACAACCTCATGGTATTGCACGGAGATACGCACTTGACTGACCCGGTCCTGCACACACATCGTTGCCGTGTGCGGGAGCACTGGCGAAGGGTAAGTCCGTTAGAGCACGTCTGCGTGCATAATTTTGGTAACGTTTTCCAAAATGTGTCGTCGGGGGCTTCCGGCTCCTCTCCCACCGGGCGTGGCGGTTCCAACAGAACCCGCACCGCCCCCGCTCTCCGACCCTCCAGGTCCGGGATGACTTCAGAGCAGAGAGAGGATGTGAGAGGTGGAGACGCCGTGTAAAACCCGGTGGCGACCCACTCGGCTGCGGTTTATCTCTAAGGAGTCCCGGGCCCGCTGCAGACCCACCAGGTCGGACACGTGCACCCAGTCACTCAGCAGCAAACCGCAGACGGTCGGACCGCTCAGCCCGGGCGGCAGGGCGAGGAGGACCGAGGCTTCCGACGCGCAGTGACCTCGGGTGGCGGCGGGCAATGGCCTGGGCGAACCCGGCGCCTCCGCGGATTGTTCCCGACGGGAGCGGGCCCCCGAGGGTCCCGCGGGGAAGACATGCCGCGATCAGCTCCGGGGCTCAGGGATCCCGGCGCCCTCCGTCCGCGGGGGCGCGCGCACCGCCGGGGGACTCGCTGCCGACCTCGCCGCCCACCCCGTCCCGCTCCGCCCGCAATGGGTCCGCAGCCGCCCGGCGCCGGGTCCAGGGATCACGTGATGCAGCCCGAGCGGCTCTCACGCTGTAGCGTCATCACGTCGCGCGGCCGGCTGGCCCTGGTGATCACGTGATGCGGGAGGGCGGTCTTTGCGC